TTCCTTTTTATTTGAAAAAGTAGAAGACAACCTGCAGAAGCTGTACTCTGTAACGACTAAAAACTCAATCATTGGAATTCGATCTTTGAAAGACTAAAGAATTCCAAGTTTATGTTTCGGTGAATGGTCAGTCTGTTTTTGAGTGGTGTCCTGAGTGATTATTGTGATCTTGTTTTGTCGCTATTCAACTGAATAAAGCATATATATATATATATATATATGAGTTAAGATTTAACCAATAAAGGAGTTAAACCACACTCATGACTGAAAACTCACTATTAGCCAACAAGCCAACAATAGTTATAAGTCATATTTTACTTTTTAAAGCACCACACAGTTTCTAAAGTAGCCAAGTTAATCTCAGGTTTTAAATCATAAGATTCTCCTTCTAAAGTAGCCAAGTAATCTCAGGTTTTGATCAATGAACAAGTGTAACAAGCGCTTTCCGAAAAGAAAGGAGTGGTGGCGTTAGAGTCGACGATTATCGCTCACGGAATGCCCTATCCAACAAATCTCAAGTTGGTTAGAATTGGCAAATAGATAAAGAAACTTAATCAATAATAAATAAAATGATAAAATATATCTACAGATACAATTTCACAAATATTGATTATTCTAAGATAAATTTTTGCGGAGATCCCGAAAATCGTAGTTTCAGAACAATTCCAGCACTTCCTATGATAAAGAAAAGCAGCTTTGAAAATCAAGAATTTTGAGTATGACCGAGTTGAGGACTATTTTACGGTTTCCAAGCTTTCGCAGAAGCTCAACACTCTAATCCCCACAAGATCTCATCGTCAGCTACATTTTCCAACCTCACATCGATAGGTTCTGATAAGCGGTTCTCGAGATTTCGAGCAATTTAGGCAACGCTTAGGGTGCACTACTATTAGAGAAAATACGGTATTTGAGAGAATATGGCAGCCGATATTACGGTACTTGTCGTGGGATACCGTACTTGCGTCTAGACGTTGGGCACTGTACGTAAAACTTTCTTTAGTTTTGTACTGAGTCTTGTAGCATACCGGATTCTCTCTAATAGTATTGCACCCCGGCTTGAGCCGAGTTGGTGACTATTTTACGGCTTTCAAAGTTTTCACAGAAGCTCAACACTCTAATCCCCACAAGATCCCATCGTCAGCTACATTTTCCAACCTCACATCGATAGGTTCTGATAAGCGGTTCTCGAGATTTCGAGGAATTTAGGCGACGCTCAGGGGTGCAGTAGTATTAGAGAAAATTCGGTAATACAAGATAATAATGCAAGATCTCCAGGAGGAAGTCTTTTCTCATTTCCGCTAAAAACTCCCACATTCTACGGCAAGTGGAGGAGCGCTAGTAGGAAAGAAAAATTTGAACCGAGAAATTCACAATCAAATATTCAAGACATTATTCTCAATATGTTTTTTAAAAACTTGTTCACATTAGCCATTGTCGTCGAAAAATAAGAGAGATGTTAATTTTTAATTGCAAAAGCTTGAGTTTTTGGCTAATACATGTCCAATCCGTACAGTTTCTTTAAAAATAAACATTTAGAATTTGAAGAAATTTATTCACAATATAGTAAAAGATTTCCGTCGACGATATCCTCTCCAAAAAAGCATCTCTTATAACTCGAATTCGACACACTTTTCATCAAAAATTCGTGAGATATCGGAGAAATATTTTGAAAAATAGTTGTTTTCAGTCTAAATTTTATGTTATTTGAAAGGTTTTATATTAAAAAGTAAAATAAACTCAAAAAGTTCAATTTGAATTTTAAAATTACGATAGAAATTAGCCGAATATCTTCAAAATAACAAAGAATTTGACTATTGCTATCGTAATCCGTCTTTTATTTTACACTATTCTCCAAGTGAAGATCACTCTAATGGCTATTATAATGTCTATTATCAAGAAAAAGAGACGTAAAAGCTTCTCTTTTCACTCACAGTTTTGCTGTCATATTTTCCTTTCCTCCGATATCCGATCTTGCTCTATCAATTGCCGTTTTCCTGTCTCGATAATGAAAAATAGTCATTCGATTCTCCTCTACCAAATCTGTTCGATAATCTTTTCGAGCATGATCGATTGGATAATGAACATTCTGAAGATTGGAGGCTTTTTGAAAGCTATGAAGTTTAACTTTTGATGACAAAAGCTTCTAATGATTATTAGATTCATTGAACTTTATCCATTTGAAAAACTTTATTCAAACAACAACCTGTGTCAGAAAGTAATGCGGTCTGACTTGATACATTTCGAGCCGTAGTATTGCGTTTTCCCTTCATAACAAATCTGCTCGTGGTTGTTGAGAGTAAATGGTAATTTGCTTTCACTAGAATTTTATTTAGAAATTGAAAAGTTTCATCCTTACTTTTCCACAATGTAGTCGATTTTGAGCTGTATTGCGGCCGTTTTGTCGTTGGAGAAGAACTCGGAAGAAAAGTCAATCTACCAAAGGTAAAAAGTTTATTGGAAACACTCAGAAAGATTCAAAAGTTTGAATCACTCAAAAAGTGGTAGGCAATTCGTTGAGTTGATCTTTTAAGTAATTCAAACATAAGTAGCAAGTCATCAACTTGGCTATCACTTTCATTTATGGCCAACTGGTCAATTTATGACAATGGCTCACATTTCTGTGAACGGTAATTGCAAAGCAAAGCTGGAAATTGTAAAGCTTTGTCCGCAGAGGAATTCTGCGGGAAGAATACCAGTTTCTTGAATTTAACTCTGAATCTAGAGGATCTACTCCTCACAAAAAATGAGCGTGAAACGATTTCGGAGAACAGAATCAAAAACCAAAGTTCACCTATTTGGCGGTGAAGAAAAACTTGAATTCTCATCAGCTTTGATAACAGCAAACTCATCCAAATCATGCAGAGCCACGAATTCCGTTCTGCCGATGTGCCGGAGAAGACAATCGGCTATCTAAAAAGCTTGTTTCTTTGAAATATTAGTAATATTGTTTATTCAAGACACCCACCGTGAAATGTTGTCCATAATGGTATACTTTATCATCGTTGAATGGCCTCAAAAAATGAAATGACTTCAAGAAAGCTGAAAGGAAATCGAATTAAATTGCATTGTTTGATAAACAAAAAAGAACCCTTGATTTGAATATTTTTCCATCACCATTTTCAGTTTGGAATTCAGCGAGCCGTTTTGTGTAGATGGAAATCTAAATCTTCACAATTAAAGACTAGAGGACAACGATTAAAGTAAAGTTAAAGATTAAAATGGTTCATGTTGTTCATGTTGTTCATGTTTATGTAATTGGAAAAACGCTTAAATTTTAACCAAAAAATCTCTATTGATTATTGTATTTTATGATGTTTTGTCTTGTCTATCGCTGGTGTGTTATCTATTAGGTTGGTAGATAAAAGAAATGCGCGTTTTCGTTAAAAGTTTATTTTATTATAAAAACAAGATAAAAATACATTAATCCAAACGGTATTCCCCATCTGCATCAATGACTTGTCGCCAGCGTTCACGCAGAGAATGGATGCCCTTCTTGAAGAACTCGACCGGCTGCGACTCGAAGAAGTTGGACACCGAAATTTGAATCTCGTCGCGGTTCTTGAACTTTTCTCGGTCAAGGAGTGGTGCATTGATCGGAACAGATGGTAGTCGGAAGGCGCCAATTCTGGGCTGTATGGTGGATGAGGGCGGGACTTCCCAGCTCATTTCTTCAATTTTCTGCTGGGTGATTTTTGCGACATGCGGCCGAGCGTTGTCGTGGAGGAGTTTTGTCGACGACGTATCCACACCTTAACGTCGCAGCGCCTGGTCCACGCGGTCCAAGTGGCCTTGGTAGAGGTTCGCCGTAACTGTTTGACCCAAATCCAGAACCTCAAAGTACACCAGGCCTTTACTGTTCTACCAAACACAAAGCATCACCTTTTTTCCGTGGATGTCCGGTTTTGGAGTCGGTTTTGGAGCTTCACCGGGGTCCAACCACTGCCGCTTTCTTGCTGTGTTGTCGTATGGGATCCACTTCTCATCCGACGTAACAATGGAGTCAAGAAAAACCCACTGTTCTTGGCGCGGTGGTGAGAATTCCGGTGATTACGATGCGTGTCGCCTTGTTTGCGTCGGATAGACTCCCGTGTTTTTGGTCTTTCAAGCTTTCGTCGCCGTCTCGGAAGCGCTGGAACCATCGTTTACACTGACTTTCGGATAGAGCATCTTCGGCAAACGCTTGAGATAGAGCGCGTTGAGCTTCAGCAGCCAATTTGCCTTGCTTAAATTCATACCACAAGCAGGCCCGCAAGCGAAATTTTTGGTCCAACATTTTCTAAACACTCTTTCCTGTAAAAAACAAAGTAAACATAGACAAATTATATATCAAACGATGCGCAAGAACACGCTCTTTCCAATAAATAAACTATTTAAAAATCTTTTACTGTGAATAAAATACAAATCAACAAACACGACGCTCATTTCTTTTTTACCAACCTGATAGAAAATGAAGATGAAAAATGAAATGTAATTCAAATGAAAATTATCGCTATGAAAATGCTCAAAATACCAAAAATACCAAACAACGAAACTATTTAAACTTTTCCATTCAAATGATTCTTTATAACATAAACTCAAAGTTGATTTTTTTAAATGTTTACTAGAAAATTGAAGTCAACAACAAGTCAACAAAGCTGACCTGTTCAACGCCCAATAATCGATTCATTTCGACGAATTCCACAAAATGTTCCGCTGTGTATTTTTCTCCGAATATTAATGGAACACAAATGGCGAAAGTTTGATCAAAAAGAAATCGTCTTTTTCTGTTTCAAAAATTGAAAAACAAATCGCTCATTTCAAACCGGTATTCGATAGGAGATTGGCACAATGGCTGATTTTGAAGAGTGTCATCACAAATCGTTATTTCGTCTGAATTTTTGTTTAAGATTTATCTCCCTAACAGTCTGTACCAATACTTTCGAGAGAGATATTTTTCAGAGCTAAACAATTCAAATAGCCAGCTCCACTGCCAATTTCGAGCATTTTCCCCGGTATTTTTAAACCATCTGCAAGCTGAAATTGACTACTTTGAAATTCAAATGTTTCCGATGAAAAAACAGACAAACTTGACAGGAAAAATTGGATGATTTTGTGACGGCCATCATGACACGGATTTGTGATCGGCGGATGGACTCCAGTTCTGGCAAAGTTGTTATTGAGTTTTAAAATTAGTTTGGGTTTTTGTTCTATTAAAATTTTGGTCCAGAAAAGCAATGTGGGAACAATAATTGGAAAACGATTTTTCTCGTTTTTGGCTGATGGCTAGAATGGAAAAACAAAGCTTTTCAAGAATCTTAAGCCTTTCAGTTGAAGCTGGCTGAATATTCTGCCAAAACGACGCAAGAGATCCCAGTTTTGAAAAGAAAACGATGCTCTCTTCGCTGAAGTGAGTTTTGTTCCATATAATTTGACACAACAAGCATAAACGATGCTCTCTTTGCAATAGTTGAGAAATGAATTGAGTAAATGGTTTAAAAAGTGTCCATTGATTGAGGCTAGAGATCACTTTGTGGAGCTTGAGGTTCAAGTTCATCAAAAAGCTTCTAACCAGTTTGAATCAAGAGTAAACCGACCTGATTCTGCTTGTTCAGGCTCCTGGAAAGTATTTTTGAGGAAATGGAAAAGCCGATTCCCTGACCTCATCGTCTGCATTTCTTTGATCAATAACAGCAGAAAATGCAAAATTTCCGATTGAGATTTCGACGAACTTCACTTCAGGACCCTAAATCATAAATGAATTTAGCAATTAGATGAAAATTTACCGTACGACTCTTTTTGATTCCTGTTAAAAGAAAACTTTTAAGTGGGAAGATTGTCGTTCTGAAAACTCGGAATGATGTTTCGTTCAAAATGGACAAAACTTTGAGTGTAAAAGTTGTAAAAGATTAATAAAGTTTCAGGATTCTCTTCTACTGGATTACTTTTTGCTCTGAACGGGAATGACTGACTGGTTGACCTAGGAAAGCAGTGGAAAGCTACCAGCTCTTCGAAAGACGCTTCTCCAAAAGCTCGAGCTTTTTGTATGTAAATTTTGTAAATATAAGCTATGCACTCACTCGAATTCTTCAGCAAACAAAAAATAGACGAGTAAAAGCAAGGTGACGAAGAGAGTGACAAAGAAAAACGAAAACTATTGCATTTTGAGCATTGTTCTGGTCCAAAAGTTTGTACATGAAACCCGTGCCTAAAATTTAATTCCGAATATAAATTTAATGAAAATATGTTTGTTCAAGGGTGATAAGGGATGAAATTGAGATTTTTGGCAATTGAATATCGATGGAGAAGATGGGAAAGGAAAGGGAAACGGGGCGAAGACAAAACATCCAAATTGATTCACATCGTAGAAGGATTTCCGAGAAGCGAAAGATTTTAAAAATCATAGGCTGGGTTTTCCAACGAATCCAAGTAATCAATCACAATACGAAACAAATCCTTATGAAACATTAATCTAAACTACCTAATGCCATAACAGGACTTCAAATTCTTAACTTAAGCATGAATCTTGAAAGTTAATGATCGTTATTAGGTACTTGCAAAAGAAACTGCGAATTACTTCCGAGGACAAGTTTTTTTATTTGAAAGTGTGATGGTCCGGTTTAAAATGTATTATATTGTATTATGATTGCTTATTCATTTTAATTATTTTCACAACTATTGCTACCATTAAATATTACATAATCTTAGGTCCAAGATGACGGATCACAAACTCGTGTTGCGGGCGTGTCTTCTCTATGACTTCTCTTCAAAATGAAGAAATCAGCTTCGAAGCCGCACCGGAATCTTTGTGAAGCATTCGGAGAAGCATTTTGAGTGAAAGGACTTACCAGGAATGGATTCGACGTTTTCGTGAAGGGGATGACAGCTTGGAAGACGAGCCTCATGGATATTGTAATTGTTATGCTGTCGGTCTTTTGGAATATGAAAGTAATCGTTTATTTTGAATTACGAAAATCTTCAAAACTATAACTTTTCATAATCTACGCCGAACAGCTGAAGAAACTTGATGAAATTCTACGAGAAAGAGGTGTTAATCCAAGGAGAATCCATTTACTCGCTCACAATTTCCGGGTACACACATCAAACTTGGCTCAAAACGCCATAGAAGGATTCGGCTGGAAACTTGTGCCTCGACCGCCCTGATATTACTCCCTCAGATTACCACTTGTTCCTGTCTATGCAGCACTCTCTTGCAAAACTAAAGTTTAACAATCTTGAAGAAGTCAAAATTTGGGTGCAAGACTACTTTGTGTCACGGGACCCCGAATTTTTCGAATCAGACATCCGAAGTCTACGCAAAAAATGTAAGAACATAGTTGATAATATTGAGAAATATCTTTTGGAATAAAGTTATTTTGTTATTGATTTTTAGGTTCTTCGAATGTTGGTTATAATCCGCAGTTTCTTTTCCAAGTCCCTAATATTTGGTGGAGTGACGATGCCGGTCAATAAAGGAAATAACCGTTTTTAATGGCTGCAGTTTATGTGCAAGTCATTTTTGTATCAAGGGTGATAAGGGACGGAATTGAAATTCGATGGAGAAGGAAGGGAAAGCAAAAGGAAAACGGAGGCTGAGAGGGGTGCCAATTGGAAATGCGCTTTTTTAAACTTAACTTTCTAATTTCTATAATTTTGGCTTTAATTATTGTTGTATAGGCCATTTTGTACTCAACTAGCAACGAGTTGTCATTCGTCTAAAAAAGTCAAAACTTTAACGTTGTTGGGGGTTGAACTCATCGCCTAGAAGTCGGTTTTGAGACAAGCGCATTATCCACTCTGCCACCAATGAGGCCACAAACTATTGGAAAAGTACTTATTTTATTTATACTTTATTAAGTGAAAAATGTTTTTGTGTTTTGTGAAAATCTAGCAGCTATTTTGGACAGATCAAAGTCTAGGTTAATGTTTAAAAATAAAAGTTCTACTTTATGATTAGAGTGTGCTCTTCTCAAGAAAGCGTTAGGAAGTTTTCATTGAGAAGATTCAAGCCGATTTAACACAATCTATTGAGAGAAATCACAAGATTATTAGTAAAAAATATTCGAAACATTTAAAATGCAAGTAATTTCTAACGCTTTTAAGAGAAAAGAGAACAGCGTTGCAGAAGAAAAGCTCTCCTAATATTCCCCCATTGATAAGACTAATTCGTCCTTTTCTTAAAATCAATAGGGGCAATCAAATCTCACTAATTGTCGAGTAATGCGTTAGAAGTCGGTTGCTTTTGAGCTTTTGAGACATATTCAAGACATTATTCTCAATCTGTTTTTTAAAAAACTTGTTCACAATTAGCCATTGTCGTCGAAAAATAAGAGAGATACTAATTTTTTTAATTGCAAAAGCTTGAGTTTTTGGCTAATACATGTCCAATCCGTACAGTTTCTTTAAAAATAAACATTTAGAATTTGAAGAAATTTATTCACAATATAGTAAAAGATTTCCGTCGACGATATCCTCTCCAAAAAAGCATCTCTTATAACTCGAATTCGACACACTTTTCATCAAAAATTCGTGAGATATTCGAGAAATATTTTGAAAAATAGTTGTTTTCAGTCTAAATTTTATGTTATTTGAAAGGTTTTTATATTAAAAAGTAAAATAAACTCAAAAAGTTCAATTTGAATTTTAAAGTACGATAGAAATTAGCCGAATATCTTCAAAATAACAAAGAATTTGACTATTGCTATCGTAATCCGTCTTTTATTTTACACTATTCTCCAAGTGAAGATCCCTCTAATGGCTATTATAATGTCTATTATCAAGAAAAAAGAGACGTAAAAGCTTCTCTTTTTCACTCACAGTTTTGCTGTCATATTTTCCTTTCCTCCGATATCCGATCTTGCTCTATCAATTGCCGTTTTCCTGTCTCGATAATGAAAAATAGTCATTCGATTCTCCTCTACCAAATCTGTTCGATAATCTTTTCGAGCATGATCGATTGGATAATGAACATTCTGAAGAATTGGAGGCTTTTGAAAGCTATGAAGTTTAACTTTTGATGACAAAAAGCTTCTAATGTTTATTCGAATTTTTTTTGATTTGTCTTCGCACTCAGGTGTTCCCTATTTGCGAGATCACAACCTGCTTCCACATTTCTCTATCCCTTGCTATTGTTGTCCAGTGTTTCCTAAGCTTGATTGTTGCTGGTTCGAAGTCTTCGACTTGCTGGTGCTGGTGGTGGTTGCACTCTAGCCATCCTTTCTCTGACCGTCTCTGCTACTCTTGTGCTCCACCTCGTTGCTGGTCTTCCGATGGACCTCTTCTGGTCTCGTGGTAGCCACTCTGTGATCCGTATCGTCCATCTGTCGTCTGTTCTTCTGGCTACGTGGCCAGCCCATCTGAGTCTTTTTCTCTCAATCACTTCCACTGGATCTCTGAGTCCGAGCTGGCGCATATCCGTACTTCTTAGGTCTTGGCCGAGCTGCGTCTGCCTATTGTACCCGAGGAGGTTCCTTTCAAGGGCTCGATGCGTCGTTCTCAGGGCTCGTTCAGTGGTCTGGGTCGTGGCCCAGGTCTCTGTCCCGTAGCAGAGTGCCGGGAGGACGGTGCTGTCGAAGAGGTGTGCCCGAGTTCTCTGGTGATTCTTGAGTATCTTTGTGACTTCTTTGATGCTTCCTAGTGCTGTCCAGGCCGCTCGTTTTCTTCTGGTTTTTCTGCAATCTCTGGTCTTAGGTCTCCCCTCATGTTGATGTTTCTTCCGGGGTAGGTGTAGGAGGTGACTTCTTCTAGTGGTTGATCTTCCAGCTTGATCTCTCCAGGTGGGCACCATGCGTTCCTCATGCTCTGGGTCTTTTTCCTGTTCATCTCGAGGCCAATCTTCTTGCTGGCTCGGTCGAGGTCTTCTAGCATCCGTTGGGCTTCTTCTGGCGTCTTGGCGCAGAGCACAATGTCTTCTGCGAAGCGTGGGTTGGTGATGTTTCTGCCGTCTACCGGGATGCCGTAGTCTTCCCACTCGAGGTCTTTTATGGCATACTGGAGAACCGTGGTGAAGAGCTTGGGCGAGATGGTGTCTCCTTGGCGGACCCCGCGCTTGATCGGTATGTGGACTTCCCTCTCGAACATCTTGATGGAGGTGGTAGCCTCCGTGTAGCAGTCTTGTATCGCGTGAATATATCCGAGGTCAATCCCTGCATCGAGGGAGGGCTTGTGTCACTGCGCCGTGTTGCACTGAGTCGAATGCCTTCTTGTAGTCGACGAACACCAGAATGAGTGGCATTCGGAATTCTGGTGTTCTTTGGATCAGTTGGGTGACGGCTTACATGTGGTCGATCACCGAGAAGTTCTTGCGGAAGCCGGCCTGCTCCACTGGCTGGTAGTCGTCGAGTTTCCGCTCTATTCGTTGTTGGAGAATCTTCGTGTAGAGCTTGTACAGGACCGATAGCAGAGATATTGGCCTGTAGTTTCCGATGTCTTATTTGTCTCCTTTCTTGTAGAGCAGAACTGTCCTTGCTTCTCGCCAGTGGTCAGGTATCCTCTGGTTGTGGAGGTAGGTGGTGAAGCGTTCGGCCAGCAGCTTGTGTATGTCTTCTCTTCCAGCCTTGAGTAGCTCTATCTTGATGTCGTCTGGCCCTGGTGCTGTTCTGCCTGATTTTGGCTGGGAGGACTGTCGGCATTTCTTCTGTGGCAGCTGGCAATTGCGGTGGTGGGTGGGTACCTGTCGACGAGTAGAGGTCGGTGTAGAAGTCTTGGACAATCTTCTCCATCAATCTTGAGTTGGTTCTTGTGCCGTTGTTCTCCTTGAGGGCTCTGAAGACTTGTCTCTCTTGGATGAGTCCTCGTCTTCACCTCTTGGTGCTTTGCCTTGCTTCGGCTGCTTCCAAAAGCTTTCGCTTGCGGTGGTTGCTGAGGTCCATCTTGGGGTGGTTGCGGCATGCTTTATCAGCTGCTCTTCGTTCCAGCTCTGTGGAGTTGGTGTTGTTCTTGACGTGGACCTCATCTTGAGCAGCTCCTTGGTCGCGTCTGAGATCCTCTGATCTTTGGTCTGTGGCACCCTGCACTTCTTCTCGCATTCCTTGAGGTTCTTGACCAGGGTGTCGTAGTCCTCATTGTGGTCTCCCGATTGTTTCCAATCCTTATCCCTGAGGAGTTGTGGTAGTATCGAGAAGTCGTGGGCGAGCTTCTTCTCCTTTGGTGATCGGTGGAGGATCTTCTTTGCCATTTGTTCGCTCAGTTTCACTTTTGCTCGCTTACGAGTCGATGGTCTGAGCCGGTGATGAAGGAGGGCACCACGCCGACGTCTAGAAGCGTCCATTTCCTGTTGGCGAGGATGTGGCCTATCTTGCACTTCCTCTGACCGTTGGGTGAGCACCAGGTCCATCGTCTTGAAGTCTTTTTCTTGAACTGAGAGTTCCCGTGAGTGAGTCTTGCTGACCATAGTGGCTTTTCCAGACGGTCGCCGTTGTCGTTACGTGTGCCGAGTCCGAACTCTCCGACCCTCCCGGTGCCGCTGTTCCCGATGATCGTGTTGAAGTCTCCGAGCACGAACTTGTAGAAGCTCCTGTCTTTCTTGAGTGTTTCTTCGAGGTCTTCGTAGAAGGCTTCTCGTTCGTCTTCCTCGGCTGCGGCTGCGTAGAAGGCTGCGGAGGTTGGGGCGTAGCAGCTGTAGACGCCGATGTCGCGGTTTCTCGGTGACTTGGGTGGAGGACTGCGAGTCGTGGAGAGATGATTTCATGGCTGTCGACGAGTGGCACGATATCCTTGTTGACCAGGAAGCCTACTCCTCCGATGTTCTTGTTAGTGGCTTTGTGACCGAGTATGAGCAGGTCGCCGTTCGCCTGTGTCTTCGTGGAGTCATCTTTGGCCTTTGTTTCTTGGAGGGCGATGATGTCGAATTTGAGCTTCTTGCTCATCTCATGGAGTGTAGTCTTATCGGCTTGCGAGGCGGCTGTCCTGGCGTTGAAAGTGCAGGGTCGGAGGCTTGGGCATTGTCGTTGAGTTTCGTTCCTTGGTCCGTTGTCCATATGGCATCCTGATGTCCCGTGATTAGATCGCCTCTCGGCCTTTGCTTGATCCCTTGATGCCGGAAGAGAGCAGGGAGGCCGTGCGGGGTACTGAGGAAGAAGTGTAGTTGTCGTAGCCGATGATACTCCGATGGTCGGGCTGGGGCGCTCGGAGGGAACCCACAAAGGTCGAACCCAAAACTATCCCGCGCCGACGTTGCTTAAATTGGCAGCTCGGACGAAATAGACCGCAGGCCCTTCCTCTTCTAGGCCCCCTTATTCGAATTTATTGAACTTTATCCATTTGAAAAACTTTATTCAAACAACAACCTGTGTCAGAAAGTAATGCGGTCTGACGATACATTTCGAGCTGTAGTATTGCGTTCTCCCTTCATAATAAATCTGCTCGTGGTTGTTGAGAGTAAATGGTAATTCGCTTTTACTAGAATTTTATTTGGAAATTGAAAAGTTGCATCCTTACTTTTCCACAATGTAGTCGATTTTGAGCTGTATTGCGGCCGTTTTGTCGTTGGAGAAGAGCTCGGGAAGAAAAGTCAATCTACCAAAGGTAAAAAGTTTATTGGGAACACTCAGAAAGATTCAAAGTTTGAATCAAAAAGTGGTAGGCAAATCGTTGAGTTGATCTTTTTAAGTAATTCAAATATAAGTAGCAAGTCATCAACTATCACTTTAATTTATGGCCAACTGGTCAATTTATGACAATAGCTCACATTTCTGTGATCGGTAATTGCAAAGCAAAGCTGGAAATTGTGAAACGACCTCGGAGAACAGAATCAAAAACCAAAGTTCACCTATTTGGCGGTGAAGAAAAACTTGAATTCTCATCAACTTTGACAACAGCAAACTCATCCAAATCTTGCAGAGCCACGAACTCCGTTCTGCCGATGTGCCGGAGAAGACAATCGGCTATCTAAAAAACTTGTTTGTTTGAAATATTAGTAATATTGTTTATTCAAGACACCCACCGTGAAATGTTGTCCATAATAGTATACTTTATCATCGTTGAATGGCCTCAAAAATGAAATGACTTCAAGAAAACTGAAAGGAAATCCAAGTATATTGCATTGTTTGATAAACAAAAAAGAACCCTTGATTTGAATATTTTTCCATCACCACTTTCAGTTTGGAATCCAGCGAGCCGTTGGTGTAGATAGAAATCTAAATCTTCATAATTAAAGACTAGAGGATAACGATTAAAGTAAAGTTAAAGATTAAAATGGTTCATGTTGTAGAAAAGTTTATGTAATGGAGAAAAAGGCTTAAATTTTAACAAAAAAACCTTTATTGATTATTGTATTTTATGATGTTTTCTATTGTCTATCGCTGGTGTATTATCTACGCTGGTGTATTATCTACAATTAAATAGAACCGATGCTCCATTTGCACAAAGACCACGAATTTGCTATTATTTGCACATCCACTCAAAAAGACATCAACAGCTATTTTTTTGATGTTATCTTAGCTTTCGATTGGCACCGCTCCTAGCTGAAAGTTCTTTCAAAGTTCTACTGAAAGTTCTTTCTCTGCAACGTGATAGTTTAGGTTTTTTTCAGCCTACCCCATTATAGCGACGACAATCAAATAGAAACGATCTTGAAATTTTTTCGAAACTTTCGATTTAGTTAGTTTCGTTGCAAGTTTTCTCTATTTAGATATGGAACGAGGTATTCATATCACACCATTTCAAAGACAGGAAGTTGTGAAACCACGGAAAGAGGGCAAGAGTTTTGAGGCAATTGGTTGCGCACTGAAAATCTCGAAAGCTGCTGCCGTGAAAGCCGCAAAGCATGTCGAAACAACAGAATCTATTCAGAATAAGATACGGAAACGATCTAGAAAAACGATGAAAAAAAAAAGATGAAAAATGGAAAGAAAATTATCGCTATGAAAATGCTCAAAATACCAAAAAATACTAAACAACGAAACTATTTAAACTTTTCCATTCAAATGATTCTTTATAACATAAACTCAAAGTTGATTTTTTTAAATGTTTACTAGAAAATTGAAGTCAACAACAAGTCAACAAAGCTGACCTGTTCAACGCCCAATAATCGATTCATTTCGACGAATTCCACAAAATGTTCCGCTGTGTATTTTTCTCCGAATATTAATGGAACACAAATGGCGAAAGTTTGATCAAAAGAAATCGTCTTTTTCTGTTTCAAAAATTGAAAAACAAATCGCTCATTTTCAAACCGGTATTCGATAGGAGATTGGCACAATGGCTGATTTTTGAAGAGTGTCATCACAAATCGTTATTTCGTCTGAATTTTTGTTTAAGATTTATCTCCCTAACAGTCTGTACCAATACTTTCGAGAGAGATATTTTTCGGAGCTAAACAATTCAAATAGCCAACTCCACTGCCAATTTCGAGCATTTTCCCCGGTATTTTTAAACCATCTGCAAACTGAAATTGACTACTTTGAAAATTCAAATGTTTCCGATGAAAAAACAGACAAACTTGACAGGAAAAATTGGATGATTTTGTGACGGCCATCATGACACGGATTTGTGATCGGCGGATGGACTCCAGTTCTGGCAAAGTTGTTATTGAGTTTAAAATTACCGTAATAATTCTAATAGAAGACCATGGTCTTCTAATTTTCAACCCCTTCCCCAAAGGGTCTTCTATTAGAGACTGGTCTTGAATTTGTCAAAGCTTTAGAGAACGATTTTAGGAAGCAACCCTCTTTAAAAGTCAGTCACATTTGTATCATCACTTTATTCACTTAGTTAAAGCAACAATTAACAACAATAACAACAAATAATTATTAACATAAAACATAAAACAATTTGAAAGGAGCAAATCCGTTAAAAAACCTCAATTTAATTTTCATTAATGTCATTGATTTCAATCGAGGCATCGCTTTCGTAATCCTTGTTTTCCTCGTCTTCGCCCAAATCAATTTCATCCAATAATTGAGCAACCATCTCATCATTTACCTCCAAATCGCTTCTGGATGACCGGATCAATTCGTTTCCGTGGCAAAAGAACAAAAGGCTTGCACTTGTAACCGTCGGAGCGCGCCGTAAGCATCACAGAAATTTTTGTCTTTTCATGTCCACTTGATCGAACTGAGACTTCATTTTGCTCCTTTTTCATCAACACATTTTCCGCCAATTGGATCAAGGAAGACGGCCGTTTCATCACAAGCGTAAATGTGTGTGTATTTGTTCTCCTTTTGCATCCGATTAAGATACATTACGAAATTGACCAACACATCAGCATATTCGTGGGGAGGCTTCTGACAGATTGACGTTGGAGTTCTCATTGAAAATCCATGACGCTTCATGAACTTTCGAAGCCATCCCAATGAACAATCGACTTTGATATCGTTTTGCTCACAAAAACGCTTTGCTTTTCTTGGACCAAACGCCTCGAGACCTTGTTTTTCTTCTGTCGTTTGCTTCGGACCCATTCGGCAAGTTCCACGTCGAGTTGCGTATTTGTGAGGGTTCGGCCACCTCCTTTAACCTCTTGTATGATTTCCCCATCTTTCGCAATCGTTTTTCTTGCGAAATCCATTCGCGAATCATCTTTCTGCCGACTTGAAACTTTGTGCTTGCAACATTCTTTGAGATCGTCTTTGCAAATTCAATTGTTTCTAACTTAAACTCGATCGAATATGCCTTCCGTTTGTTTCCATTCTTGAGCAGTTCCGCTTCGAGAGCCTCCAAAGCATTCCCCGAATCTTGATTCATCTCGTTTTCATTCTCCTTTTCTCGTTCCTTGAAGATTTCAAAGTCGTCTCCTTCATCTTTTCGAATATCTCGATACTCCTCCAGAGAATCCGTGCGAATTGGCAGTCGCTCAGCCATCAGCCCTGAAAATAAACACATTATTTATTTTAAGACAAGAAACAAGAATTACAAAAAACACTAGTAGGAAAGAAATAATAACTTTGCACAATGATTTTTACAAGAAAATCTGGGTGGTAGCGGAATACGGTAACATAGTGCATTTTAAGAGTTTGGGTCTTCTATTAGAGAATGGCCTTCTAATAGAGACTGGTCTTCTATTTTTCAACCTCCCTTCAAAAGGGTCTTCTATTGGAGACTGGTCTTCTAATAGAGACTGGTCTTCTATTAGAATTATTACGGTAGTTTGGGTTTTCGGTTCTATTAAAATTTTGGTCTAGAAAAGCAATGTGGGGGCAAACAATAATTGGAAAACGATTTTCTCGTTTTTGGCTGATGGCTAAAATGGAAAAACAAAGTTTTTCAAGAATCTTAAGCTTTTCAGTTGAAGCTGGCTGAATATTCTGTCAAAACGACGCAAGAGATCCCAGTTTTGAAACGAAAACGATGCTCTTTTCGCTAAAATGAGTTTTGTTCCATATAATTTGACACAGCCATTATAAACGATGCTCTCTTTGCAATAGTTGAGAAAGGAATTAAGTAAATGGTTTAAAAAGTGTCCATTGATTGGGTCTAGAGATCACTTTGTAGAGCTTGAGGTTCAAGTTCATCAAAAAGCTTCTAACCAGTTTGAGTCAAGAGTAAACCGACCTGGTTCTGCTTGTTTAGGCTCCTGGAAAGTCTTTTTGATGAAATGGAAAAGCCGATTCCACTGACCTCATCGTCTGCATCTCTTTGATCAATAACAGCAGAAAATGCAAAATTTCCGGTTGAGATTTCGACGAACTTCACTTCAGGACCCTAAATCTTAAATGAATTTTAGCAATTAGATGAAAATTTACCGTACGACTCCTGTTTTTGATTCCTGTTAAAAGAGAACTTTCAAATGGGAAGTTTGTCGTTCTGAAAACTCGTAATGATATTTCGTTCAAAATGGACCAAACTTTGAGTGTAAAAGTTGTAAAAAATTAGTAAAGTTAGCTCAGTTTTCTGCATTCTGTTATACTGGATTACTTTTTGCTCTGAACAGAAATAACTGACTGGTTGACGTAGAAAAACAGTGAAAAACTGCCAGTTCTTCGAAAGACGTTTCCCTAAAAGCGCGAGCTTGAGTGCTTTTTGAAGATTTGGCATCTTTTTTGCTTTGCCTAGTTTTCCTAGTTTTCCTTTCTGGCGAAATCTCAAACATCACTATTATTAATCTAATTTCAAAAAGCAATCTATTATTAATCATAAAAATTTGTGAACACTTTTACTGATTTGATTGAGAATCAATAGTTTAAAAATCTCAAGAACTCGAAAAAGATTGTTGAAAGTAACGTTAACTGAAGCTTCACTTATATTTGAGACTTTTTGAGAGCTCCCACTTCTCAACAAAAACTTACAGCATTACGTAAGATTTCAAATTACAACCATAGTTTTCAAATGCTCTCGCTAACCGTCCGAAAGTGACCCAAAAGTGTCACCAAAAGCGGCCCAAGGAACTTCAAATAAAACTACTAAAGCGTTTTTTTGATTTTTTTTTGTTTTCTATTTTGATTCTTTTGTTTTTATTAATTGAAATATAGTACTGTGCATCAGAAAGAAAACAATTTGCGCCAAAAATTTTTCATTTACCGTTTTTACATTCTTTAGAAAATAGACGTATCCCTATTTCATTTTTTAACCTTTTTAAGCTTTTGAAGCCCCTTGTGTATGTTTCTTGTCTTAAATTCTTATTTTTATTACAAGAGACAGGGAAAATGTTGATTTTTTTCCATATATGGAAAAGAAAAAGTTATAACAAAAAGTTAGAAGTAAAGAAAGTTATCACAAAATTCAAGTTTTCATGTGAAAACCTAAAAAAATGATGAGAAAGATGAGAAAGAAAGAAAGAAGAGAGAAAAAAGAGAGTACAGCGTGGAGTACCACTTTTTGGACGCTTTTCGGTTGCTTTTGATCCGATTCGTGGATCCGTGGACACTTTCGGACGTTTAACGAGAACACTCGGGAACTATATTTACAACATAAGTTTTTGTATGTAAATTTTGTAAATATAAGCTATGCACTCACTCGAATTCTTCAGCAAACAAAAAATAGACGAGTAAAAGCGAGGTGACGAAGAGAGTGACAAAGAAAAAACGAAAACTATTGCATTTTTGAGCATTGTTCTGGTCCAAAAGTTTGTACATGAAACCCGTGCCTAAAAATTCATTCCGAATATAAATTTAATGAAAATATTTTTGATCAAGGGTGATAAGGGATGAAATCGAGATTTTTGGCAATTGAATATCGATGGAGAAAGATGGGAAAGGAAAGGGAAACGGGGCGAAGACAAAAGATCCCAATTGATTCACATCGTAGAAGGATTTTCGAGAAGCGAAAGGTTTTAAAAAGCATATACTGGTTTATCCAACGAATCCAAGCAATCAATCACAATACAGAAACAAATCCTACTGAAGCCTTAACCTAAACTACCTAATGCCATAACAGGACTTCAAATTCTTAACTTAAGCGTGAATCTTGAAAGTTAATGATCATTATTTTTGTGGAGTGACGTTGCCGGTCAATAAAAGGAAATAACCGTTTTTAATGGCTGCAGTTTATGCGCAAGCCATTTTGTATCAAGGGTGATAAGGGATGGAATTGAAATTCGATCGAGAAGGAAGGGAAAGCAAAAGGGAAACGGAGGCTGAGAGGTGCAAATTGGAAATGCGCTATTTTAAACTTAATTTCTAATTTCTATAATTTTGGCTTTAATTATTGTTGTATAGGCCATTTTTGAACTCAACTAGCAACGAGTTGTCATTCGTCTAAAAAAGTCAAAACTTTGACGTTATTGGGGGTTGAACTCATCGCCTAGAAGTCGATTGTTTTTGAGACAGGCGCATTATCCACTCTGCCATCAATGAGGCCACAAACTAGTTGAAAAGTATTTATTTTATTTCTACTTTATTAAGTGAAAAATGTTTTTGTGTTTTGTGAAAATCTAGCAGCTATTTTGAACAGACCAAAGTCTAGGTCAATGTTTAAAAAGAAAAGTTCTACTTTATGATTAGAGTGGGCTCTTCTCAAGAAAGCGTTAGGAAGTTTTCATTGAGAAGATTCAAGCCAATTTAACACAATCTATTAGAGAGAAATCACAAGATTATTAGTAAAAAATATTCGAAACATTTAAAATGCAAGTGATTTCTAGCGCTTTTAAGAGAAAAGAAAAGCTCTCCTAATATTTCCCGTTGATAAGACTAATTCGCCCTTTTTTTAAAACCAATAGGGGCAATTAAATCTATTAGGTTGGCAAAAAGAAATGAGCGTCGTGTTTGTTGATTTGTATTTTATTCACAGTAAAAGATTTTTTGAAATAGTTTATTCTATTGGAAAGAGCGTGTTCTTGCGCATCGTTTGATATATAATTTGTCTATGATTACTTTGTTTTTGCAAGAAAGAGTGTTTAGAAAATGTCGGACTAAAAATTTCGTTTGCGGGCGTGCTTGTGGTATGAATTTAAGCAAGGCAAATCGGCTGCTGAAGCTCATGGCGCTCTATCGCAAGTGTTTGACGAAGATGCTCTATCCGAAAGTCAGTGTAAACGATGGTTCCAGCGCTTCCGAGACGACGACGAAAGCTTGGAAGACCAAAAACACGGGAGTCGACCTCAAATCATCGACAATGACGTATTGAAGGAAGCCGTTGAGTCGGATCCACGCCAAACCACTCGCGACCTGGCAGAACAGTTCGGCTGCACGCATGCCACCATTGAGAACCATCTGTATGGGATGGGCAAGACGAATAGATCCGGAAAATGGGTACCGCATAAGCTATCCGACGCAAACAAGGCGACACGCATCGCAATCGCCGGAATTCTCACTCACCGCGCCAAGAACAGTGGGTTTTTCGACTCCATTGTTACGTCGGATGAGAAGTGGATCCAATACGACAACGCAGCAAGAAAGCGGCAGTGGTTGGACCCCGGTGAAGCTCCAAAACCGACTCCAAAACCGGACATCCACGGAAAAAAGGTGATGCTTTGTGTTTGGTGGAACAGTAAAGGCCTGGTGTACTTTGAGGTTCTGGATTCGGGTCAAACAGTTACGGCGAACCTCTACCAAGGTCAATTGGACCGCGTGGACCAGGCGCCGCGACGTCAAGGTATGGATACGGCGTCGACAAAATCCCTTCACGACAACGCTCGGCCGCATGTCGCAAAAATCACCCAGCAGAAAATTGAAGAAATGGGCTGGGAAGTCCTGCTTCATCCACCATACAGCCCAGACTTGGCGCCTTCCGACTACCATCTGTTCCGATCAATGCGCCACTCCTTGACCGAGAAAAAGTTCAAGAACCGCGACGAGATTCAAATTTCGGTGTCCGACTTCTTCGAGTCGCAGCCGGTCGAGTTCTTCAAGAAGGGCATCCATTCTCTGCGTGAACGTTGGCGACAAGTCATTGATGCAGATGGCGAATACGTTTTGGATTAATGTATTGTTATCTTGTTTTTATAATAAAATAAACTTTTAACGAAAACGCGCATTTCTTTTTTGCCAACCTAATATATAAAGTTTTTCTCAAAACGAACTAATTTGAGAATAGTAAAAAGTTATTTTTTTTCTATTTTTAATGATTTTATTTTTCCTAATACATGTCCCTAATCGTGTCTATCCGTCCGTAAGCAAAAACTCAGATCTCGATCTCCAAGTCATGTAAAAGTTCGTCAAAGTCAGTTCATTATTTTCGAATTGTTCAATGATTCGATCTCTTTTTCGATTAAAGCTTCTAGAATTTCTAACCTAATACTTTGCGCTATTTGTTTCCCTAAAATCGCGACTTATCACAGGGCATTTATAACCTATTGCCGGCTTTTGCCCGAGTATGTCACCATCGCATGGTCACCTTCCATTAAGAAACTTATCACCCTGGTTGAAAATGTTCAACGGCGTTTCACTAAAAAAGCATAGACTCGTTGTTTCCCTTTTTCTCTTATTCCAAATTATGAGACTAGACTTATAGTTTTTGATTTAAACCCCTTTTTATATCGCCGTATTTACTTTGAGCTTATTTTTTTGCTATAAAATTCTTTTCCACCCTAAGACGCATCCACAATTTCAAAGGCTCTTGAAAATTGTGGAAAGTCCTTGAAGAGCTACGTAGTCATCCTTATCAAATTTCGGTCAGTCCCCATCCCCATCATCTTTCCCTTTATTATACTTTTCCGGATCGTATTAGTAGGGTTTGGAATAAGCTCCCGTCTGGTATCTTCTCGACTGTAGGAAAATTGAAAGTATCTGTAAGCGCATTAGTTCTTATTGCCATGTCAAATCTGCCCTATATTTAAATATTTTTGTACCTATGTTTCCTAACTGTAATTTTACTGTACTATTTCTAGTTTTCTTTCTTTTTTTTGTGAAAGTATTATAGCAATATGTTGTATGCGGTTATAATTATCTGATTTGCTTTTTCGCCCCTTAATAAAGCATATATATATTAAAATGGCTGAACCTGGATTCTGTTGAATCTGCTCCATTGTGTAGTCTTTTTTTTGCTTCTTGTTGGATTATTGCCTTGCACCAAGAAAAAAGCTGAGCATTTGGGTTTTCAGACATAACTTCGTTCTCCTGAGAATCTTCTTTTTTTGCTATATATAAAAGGAACAATACTTTATACTGGAACGAGAAATTAAATTGAACTTTCGAACTTTTGGTCTATTTTGGAAGTTGAAATCAACTATGGCTTAGGCCTGTTTACGACCTTGTTAACGACTTTTCATTTTATGAAATGAAAGATAACGAAACAAAAAAACGCGGTCGACTTCTCGTTGGGCCCTCTTTTGGCTTTTGATCTAATACAGGATCCACTTTCCATCGCCCTTCACATTTTCACCATTCACATCATCGTTCACGACACACCACCCGTTTTGAAAGTCTACCCGAAATATCTACTGATTACACAGATTTTTGCCATGAGATCTTTTGGAAATGTTCAATCAGCTTGAATTGAATGAGTGAAATTTTGATTGGTAACTGTAGACTAGATTGTGTTCTTCGAGAGTAAGTAATCCACTCGAGTAAATTTGCATGAGTAATTTTTTTACTCGAGTAATAGCTCAGTAATTGCTCGGAGTAATGCGTTTTCTAAAAGTGCGCCTGCGCGAAAAAATATAAAAGCAATTTTTGCGCAGGTTTTCAAAAAAATCATTTTTACATTGGAAGGGGAATTTCCCACCAAATCAGTTAAACGGCTGAGTATCTTTAAAAAGTGTCGTATATAATGGGGCTCGTGATTTTTTGGGTCATTTTTGCAATAATTTTTTTGCTAAAAAGTAGGGTAATTTTTTCCAAGTGTGCGTTTTAAAAAACGCATTACTCGCGAGGAACACACTCTAATCGTAGTTAAGAGTGTTCCAATTGAGATAAAAATGCCAGAGTCCGGTCTGACAGCGGTTAGTTCAGGCCCAGGGTCAGGTTCAGGGCCGGGTTCAAGTTCAGGACCAGGTCAGGTTCAGATTCAGGTTCAGGATCAGGTTCAGGTTCAGATTCAGGTTCAGAGTTCAGGACCAGGTTCAGGTTTAGGTTCAGGATCAGGGGCGAAGAAAGTGAACCGACCACATTTCTTGTCATCGCTCCTGCAAGTTGACAGTTTTACGAAAGAAAACTATAGCAAATAGTAATATAAATATAAAAACTATAAAAGCAATTTTTTGCGCAGGTTTTTCAAAAAAAATCAGTTTTTACATTTGAAGTGAATTTCCCACCAAATCAGTTAAACGGCTGAGTATCTTTAAAAAGTGTCGTATATAATGCGGGGCTCGTGATTTTTAAGGTCATTTTTTTGCAAAAAGTACGGTAAATTTTTCCCAAGTGTGAGCTTTAAAAAACGCATTACTCGCGAGGAACACCCTTTACTGTAGACTCTGATAAGCAAAAATGTTTGTAGCTCTAAACAAAATTTACTGAATCCGGCAATCTAGAAACTTCACCGACTAAACTAAAAGCTCGGTTTTGACTTGTGACATCCTCCTAGTAATTGATCGGGGTACCCTGTACCTACCTCGAGATTTGAAGATCTTCGTTTTAAAAGCTATTGCGGTTGATGTGTCTCTTTCGAATTGTTGATGGTTAACAAGAGAAATTAAGATGTTTCTATTTCGATGGACCCTACAGAGGAAAAATCGAAACTATTTAATTGTTTTTAAGTA